CTATTTAATAAACAGATCAGCAAACACAAATTCCTTGACTCCCTCTTTCCAGACGTTTCTCAGTCTGTGATCCCGCTCTCCAAAAGCCTGTTGCGCTTCCAGCCTCTGTCTGTCTGTGTTCCTCTGTAATTAGTCCTGTACCCCCACCAACCCTAACGACCACGCAGGCCTTTTCCAGGGCTCCTTCATGTCCTTTAACTCAATTAACCCAAAGGCAAGACCACTGCCCTTCTATCCCTCTTTTCTCCCCCCAGCATCCCCATCCCTCCTTCCTTTTGCCTCCAGGCTGGATTGTTCATTTAGGAAGTTCTCTCAAGTCCTAATGTGTGATGACGCCTGTTACATAAGTTAAAGAGGCTTCTTTCATTTCTTCTTTCACTGTCCCAGAGTTCACCTTTTTCCAGAGCTGGTTCCGCTCTTTTCTCTTTTAAAGAGAGATAATTGATATGCCCTGGATTCACAATAATTCCGGTGCTCGGCCATGTGTCCGTGCATGCTCATTGTGAGGTTTTCTTTGTGTGTGCAGGTTTTTTTTTATGTACAAAAATATGAATGCAAGTGAGTGCATGTGAAAGATGAACCTTCTCGGGAGAAAACAAGATTAAAGCAAAATGAAAAATAAATGCTTAATAATTGCTTGTTTCCCCTAGCATTTTTAGATTGAGTATTTAAGTTTTAACATATGCCATTTTTAATGCATTCCATTTATTTAAATCAGATGTATCTTTTCTTTCTTAGGGACAATGTAAAAGTTGATTTATACAGTGGCCCAAAAAGTATTTGTACACTTATGTCAGACTTAAAATTTGTGAATGGCTATGAATTAGATAAAATATCAAAGCAAGTGGCAAAAGTTTTCTTAGGTTTCGAATGACTAAACAAAAGATACACAGTTTGAAATTAAGGCAAAACACATTGTGGCAGTTTGTAGGTGTGAAACATTAGCATAATAAATTTCACCTGTGTGAACTTGAGGGAAACTGACTTCACTCATCCACTTAAAATCACCTTGAGACCAAGAAAAAAAATGCAAAAACGTTTTGTTTAGAGAACTTGTTTGATCTAATGCAGTGACATTTTAAAGTGTGACTTTAGCATCAAAGTGTCCAAATACTCTCTGGGGCCACTGTATGTAATGTGATGTGTGGTCTATTCATTGTCATGCTTGTTAGTGGATGGATTGTGTGGTTAGTTTCCACAGGAAATGGCAGACAAGCTAAAGTTTCTCAGAAACACATTTGTGAGGTGCATGCTTTCTCGTCACTGACAGAGAGTCATGTCCATATCCTGTGTGTGTGAGAATGTCAGTATACCTACATGCCAGTTGTGATTTGAAACTGTTTTTAAACTTGAGGTTAGGCTGCACAATTTGAAGCTTGAAGTACCTGTAAGGACTATATTTTGTAATATAGTTGACATTTATGCAAGAAAATGTGATTGCCGGCTGATGATGCAAAAGTCACTGCCAAAATGCTGGTTGTTAGGGTGTTCTGGGTGGTTGCTAGGTGATTGCTTATTGGCATAGGTCTAAAACGTCCATCTTTTTGATATTCTGGTCTGTAGATATGGCTCCATCCTTTGATGTAAGTCTATTGTATTGTATTGAATTTATTTACATTAAATTAAATTTTTTAAATTATTTTACTAGGTGATAAATTTGTACATTTCACATTTCTCCTCAAACTGCACAATTTAAGGTACTGCCACAACGAATAAAAAATTATGTAATTTTATATAAAATATTACAAAACTATTACTTGTTTCAATATTTCAACTTGTCAAATTCCACATAATAAGTGACTGTGAATAAGCTACATAAGTTATTTTCATATTTAAATAATATTTCTTTTAAAGTCAAAATATTCATAGTATAATGTAATTGCTGTATAGTGTAATTTTTAAAAGTAAAATAAAAAGTACTATCAATGATTGCATTTCATGATGAATTTATTTCATGTAAGTTATGAAAAGAGCTGGTGCTTGTTGTTGACATGAGAAAGGGTGGGAAGGTGCAGAAGGAGGGTGGAAGAGAAAGGACCATGCAATTATGGAATTTCATCCCTCTTTCTCTCGGAAACTTAATCTTCCCCTGCCTTTGGGTAAAGCCGAAGGCTCATTCAGGCAGGAATGTCAGGACGAGTTTTAGAATGTCGTTTGAGTTTGCAGAGCGAGAGCGAGCGAGGAAATGCTGTATAATTTCATGGTATAAGTTTACAATGGTGCAAGCAAATTACACAAGTAAGATTTTAGCACTTGTAAGTTTATGATTTTACCACAAATTTATAATTTTTTCTTAAATTTAACAAAAAGGTCTGAAATGTAGTGTCAGACTACACGTGCACATTGCATTCCCAGCGTTGCCACAAGGGGCACTATAGCAGACATTAGCATAAACCGTCTTTTCTACAGTCAGTTTTTAGATCATGTACTGGTGGAACAACAGTTTGAAGAGAACATTAGCAGACTAACTAAAACAGTCAACATTTTATATAATTTTATAGCTTTTAGCTTAATAACACTTCCGTTTGGAGCACATACTTGATGGTAACTTTAACTAAACCCTCTCTATCTTAAGCACACATGCAAATGTCTGCATACTTGTTTAAAGTATGTTTCCATCCTAAAGTTCAAAGAAAGTTACTTGTGCACAAAGCCAATGTTGTTTTTAATCAGAATCAGAACATGTTTTATAATGCATACAGATTGTGAATGTGGAGAAATCTGGAAGCCCCTGACTGCCAGAGACACAGATTAAAAACTTCAGGATGGAACACAGACCATGGGCTCTCGTTCCCTGCCCCCATCGAGCACCTCATCCTGCTCTCTCTCTCTCTCTCTCTCGGCACATTGCTGTTTGATTGCTTAAGCCCGGTGGTCAGACAATGGGCGTATAAAGAATGGGCCGCTTCCTTCCTTCTCTCTCCTCTCTCTCTCTCTGCTGCTTGCTTACTCTCTCTCTCCCCTCTCTCTCTCTCTCGTTCTTTTGCTGCACAAATGCACAAATGCGTCTTTTTTCAGATTCTCTTGCTCAATGGGGGTGTCTCTGGATCTGAGGATCTGTTAATAAAAACTATATATATATATATATATATATAGTTTTAGTTTGGATTCTGCAGTGTTCTACCAACTTTTTCAAATTCTACTAACTTTTTTTTTTCTTAACTGTGTTTAACAGTGTTTTTTTTTTTCTCTAAATGTGAATGAATTGTTTCATATCATGCACAATATTTTGACAGCCTGTTGACTGTGATTATGTATTGCACTGCAAAAACAAACAAACAAACAAAAAAATTTATATACAACCATGTATTAAGGCTTATTTAAGGATCTTGAAAATGTGCATGTTATCTTGTTCTGTTAGGTACTTTTCAGTTATTTTAAGCTGACCTCATTCTTTTTTCTTTTATTTTCAAAAAGCACTTTTGATCTTTTGCAGTGTTAAACCCTCAAACCCAAGTTTAGTCCTGTGGTAACCAGTCAGGGTTATCTCTCTTTGCTCGTGTAGCTTGTCCTCATTGACATGGTTAAATTTAGAATGAGGATGGAAGTAATCAATACCCTTTCAAACCATACCAAACATCGATAGATGGGTACATAACGTCTTGAATGACAAATTAAATAACTTCCCAATGGTCTAATCCATTCCTTTTGACGATAACGTTCCGACCTAGGCGAGCACTTAATACTAGTGTTCATTTTTTAAACAAAGTAAGTTCCGTCCCGTCTGTTGTCTGTTTATTGAGGTCAACCCTCCCAGCCTTTATCTGACCCATTTTTCTGCTCAATGGAGAAATCTATATTTCTCCATTTCTCTTGAACTTGGCATGCAATTGCAGCTCTTTCAAAAGGGTGTCATTTTTCCCATCTATCCTTTGTGCTGCCTGCACCCATAACAACACATTTAGCAGCTGCTAAACACTCGCACGCAAAGTAGGAAACATGCGCGTGCGTGCTGTCACACACACACACAATCACACTCAGAGGCTGCCCTGTGAGAATACCAAGCAGGTAGTTGAAGAGGCGGTGAAATAACTGAGGGCCATTGAAAAGTTGGTGAATACACAAGGGTTCGAATGTGGGGGTAAACTGTTGGCCCATTGTCATTTAAAGTAATGTATTTAACCCTTTGCGGGGCTTTCTTGAGCAAACCAACCTCCCGTCACTGCCCTGCCATTCACAGCTTAAAACAATGGGTGGGAGCCAAGCCGGAAAACGACGCACTCGAGCGATCGGGACGGTTTTGTTTTTTGCCGCATAAACGTGGAAGGGGGCTCATCCCTACCGAGGGGTGAAAGCTGGCTGGCTGTCACTCAAAACCTCAGCAAAAAAACAAACATGCGCTAACATGCTGAACAAACAGTGCTAGTAGTGCATATCATGTCACAAGGAAGAAAACGGGAAATAGGCACAGCCTTTTTCTTTGTGACTATACAAAACGAGGCATGCATTGCGAGATCAAAATATATTATTTTAAAGACATTTACTATAAACAATGTAGAATCAACGTCATGACCTTGACATTTTAAGCTGCTTTAGTTTTAAAGAGTGATACCCAACTGATGGTTTGTACTCTTAAAAATGGGTTGCAGTGATGAAAACCACTAAAACTGCAACTAACCATATATTTGTGCATATTTGTTGTAGACCAATTTTGGTGCAAATTCATGACACTTTATTTGGAATGTAAAATCTGAGACCTGAATTTGAGAACCACTACTTTAAAATAATACTTTATTTCAAGTGATTTTGCTCATGCCTTATTCAAATAAAGTTGTGATAATGCAAACGGAGTTATCGGTTATGTTTTAGCAATCATATTTCCCTTTCTGAAAGGTTAAAGATCACACCTTACACAACCGCATCCAATCAACTTGCAGAGTGTCTAGGGAGCAAAAATTTCCTCAAAAGCAGAATTGATAAAGCATCTTGCGTATACCATATCTACACTTAATATTCCCACAGGGCAGTTTCCATAACACAAGCAAGGATTGGCGGGAGCGTAGCAAACAATGGCTTGCCAACAGAAACAATCTCTGATCCTCTTGATGTCAACTAGTGGTTCGCATACTTCAATGATTAAACCAGTGCCAGATGTTTCCCATGGAAGTAAATGCAGCCAGTATCCGCTGCTGGCAGGGGAGGCTGGAAGTTACCCCTGAAGGTCTGGCTCGAGATCAGGGCTTCTTTGTAAAGGAACTGGGGTTGATCGCGATCTGAGATCAGTTTGTTTGGGTGGTTTTATCAGACAAGCTGTTGTTCCAAGTATTGGTGTTAATTATTGGTAATCATAACTTGATGACTTGATCTGTATGCACAGACATCTAAATTCAGTGTGACTATTACATAACTAAAGATTTGTCAAGTTTTCTTGGTCAACCGGAACAACACAAACTAACAGAGTTCTGCAATTTTCCAGTCAAGATTACACACATCTCCAAATGGCCACGGTTAAAGCAAGATCATTCATGAAATAACAGTCAACACCAAACAATAGTCAATGTGGCATTTATAGTGAGCTATATTAAACTTCACTTGATCTCCTTTGTGCAGGAAGATCTCATCGATAGAATCTCTCAGTAACGCACCTATTTTGCTGATTTGCCAACGTACACTATCACTTTCATCGCTTTATTTTCAGATGACCTCGAAACTGAAGCTCTGCGAACATCATCGCTGTCATCATAAACGCAACGTGAAATACGACCCTGACAGAAGATCCATCGGGTAAACAAAGGCGATTGAAAACAGTAGATTTTCTGAAATGGGTCTTTGTGCTCAAAGGCTAAAAACAAGGCCAACAGCAGGCCATAAAGAACACAGAAAATGCATTGTTTAATTTCAAAACGTTAATATATTTTCTATTTTATAGTGAACATATGCATCGGATTTGACACCCTTGTCACCCTTTTTTTGCAGCAACAACAGAGGAGGTTTTGTTTCTCAAAGTTGGGGTGATGCCTATAAAGATGCCTCTCAAAATAAATATTACTTTATAAAATAATAAAACTTCAAATAAATATTTTTACACTAAACAATGTGTTGAAATTAGAAAATAAAGTTTTTCTTAGGGTCACTGTACAATTTACAAGTATAGTTGGAGGGATAATTCATGTATAAGGTTTCTCTTCTATAAGGCAACATATCAAAAGACTGATTGATATACATTCGAAATGAATGTACAACACTATACAAGTTTTATATATGCGTCATATATATGGATCTGTCAAGGTGCCTCTGGTTTGGCACAATGCTTTTCACAGTTGAAATATTATATGTACAAAAATAAAATCTCTCAGAAAAAGAGCTCATTTGCTAATTTACATACTTTGCAGATACTATTCACAAACAGTTAGTTAGGAGAGTCTGTCACCTTTATCAGTCATATTACTGAATGTCAATAGGGCTAACATTCTGTACTTCAGTTTAAAACAAAAACATTATCCCCCTTAAAGAGTGATAGAAAGAGAGAAAGTGGATAAGAGAAAAGCAAAAACAAACAAACAAGCAAACCACTTCAAACCAGTTTTTCCGCCAATCCAATGTCACCTCATGGTCTACAGTGCCAAAACTACAACAATTTGCGAATATTTTTCCACTGCTCTGGAGATAGTCCAAGATAAGGTTATCTTCCCAGTGCTACTCCAGGAACCAAGCCTAATTTATTTCTCAATTCCTTTGTTCTTGCAGCGGCATCCTGGCCGACTGGTGCAGTCGTAGCACGCCTGGCACAACGCCACGCAGCCCTTTGCCGGGAGGTAGCAAAGCAGGCAGGGCAGGAAAATTGCCAGGACGCTTATGGCCGACCACCGCATGCAGCAATGCGACTGGCTGCAAGAGAAGGGCTTGTCCGCGCACACATCCTCATCGTCGCTGGAGCAGTGGTAGAAGAGACCCTTGACGCAGCAGACACAGGTCACGTAGTCCATTGTTGTTGTCGCTGAGCAAAGGCACCTGCGGCCACACATCCAACAGGATGGCAGGGTCCGAGGGCAGGTGCACCCTTCGCACTTGCAGCGGCCACAGTCCTCACAGCGATTCGAGTGCTTTCCATCGGCAGCCTGGCCTGGGGTTGTCGCCAAGGGCTTCAGTTCATCCTGCTTCTGCTCTGAACGTTTGGGCTGCACCCTCACCACCCGATCACCCGTCCTGCCTGCGTTTCCCAAAAGTCTTTGCTCCGATGAAGTGCTGCCCGTACTGGCCCTGGCAGTACTGCGTGACCCGTCGCTGGTGCCACTGATGGATCTGCTCATGCCGCTCCTTGGTGACTGAGGGGCTTGTTGAGGAGTCTGCTGTCCCGCTTGTTGGGCTCTCGGGGAGTTTATATGTTCAGAGAGCTCAATGGAAGCGGTGGAAGTTGGGCTGGAAGGTTGCGAGTCCGTTTTCTGTTGGGAGGCCGGTGGCCGGGGTGCCACCGTCGGGCCCTCTGTGTACTCATTGCTGCTGCGGATGGTCCTGATCTGGTCCAGGGAGAGCACCTGACCCTCCCAAGGCTCTGAGTCCCCAGTCTGGGGTCTGCCACTGTCACGCAAAGCTCGCAGCAAGCCAGAGGAGCCGCTGCCGCCATTTTGAGCTCTCGTCTCCATCTTTACTCTGAAGTGGGAACTCTCCGGCTGGCATTGAACACATCTGAAGTCCTATGGGAAAGGCAGACAGTTAAACGAGAGTATACAGGGAAGTAAATTCCCATAAACTAACCATATGTAAATCATACAAACTAGCCAAAAAGAAAAGGCAGATGGCAAGCTCCTTAATGCAAATCTCCCAACTACTCCCCACCTCAACAGCCCCGGAAGGCTGATCATCAATGGGGCGGGCCTTTACCACCTGCAGCTATCAAGTTCATGGAACATCTAGTAAACTCAAAACCACTTTTGCTCTACAGTGTCTCGGGTGCTGCACATTATCAGATCAAGAATAAATAAGTGCATTGTGTATTGTAAACAAGTGCTATACAATTAACTTTTAATTGAATATTTATTCTTTTGCATTGATTTTGTGTAGCTTGTGTTTTTATTTTAACATTGCAAACACCATTCTCACTGTTCATTCCTTGCAGAGCACATTAGAACTTGTTTGTAAAAGATGGTATACGAAAAAAACAATTAAAAGCAAACCCAACTTCACTTTGTGGTTCAAGCTATTATTTTAGTCATAATGATCCAAAATGATAAACAAATGCAGTTGTTTAAAGAATTTGAAAATGCAATTATTATAAAACTGAAAGAAAAGGTGGTCTTGTATCTGGATAATTCAGGCACAGTGTTAAGTTAATGTAAAAGTTCACATTCGCCGTAATACATTTCCATAGTATTACTGTTAAAATAAAATTAGGAAGTTACTAATCTAGCATCTGACGTGCATAGGAGCAATAACATGACGTCCACAAATGTATTATGATGCTATCAATGGAGGGCAGAGCTCTTGGCACAAAAAAAACAAACAAACAAAAAAACTTGTATACAGAAAAATAAAATATCCACGTGTTGAAGTGAAAAAACATGAAACCATACATCTCAGCCGGGACCCTCAGCACCAGTTGAGTTCAATCTAAATAACACTACCCCAAATTACCATATCAATGCACAATCTCTCTTTCCATGGAGAGGCCCAATCAGCAAAATGTCTGTTAAACATCTGTTTATCTCCTCACTGCTATTTAAACTTCTGATCTGGGTTATCAGCATGCATACTAACTTTATAACAATACTTAACTTGGTTGAACCTTGCATAGAGTACAAAACCATTTTTTATTCTTCTTTGCAACAGCAGCCAAAGTTTTTATTTTTTATTATTATCAAAATGTTTAGTGTTACGTCTTATAGGTTTTTATTGAGAGAAAAAGAAAAGAAAAGAAAAAAGCTTATAACGTAGATGACATTTATCAATGTCTATTCGCAACTTTAAATGAGACAAAAATGTAAATGTGTAAAGTTTTTATTAAAATCATAGTGGGTCTTCATAATGGTTTTTATAATAAACGTGCAGCTGTAGATGACGTTTTTCAATAGTGATTAGCAACTTTAAATGAACAGTAAGTCAAAGTAAGTACGTAGGGAACAGATCCGTATGGCAACTATTTGCACAGCTGCGAGAATGGCGCGGTGCATGAGCACTGGAAAAAGTCACGAAGAGCACGAAGATCTATAATATAAATGCACGACTAAATAAACAATAAGCAATAAATGAAACTAAAATAAAAATCCACTGCAAAAAAGTTGTATCACATGTCACTTACCGTGATCTCACCACCTCAACCCCCTATTTGTGTTGTGAAGAGTATATCCTACTAGTAGGAATTTCTCTTTGGTTAGTCCTCAATTCATTGGGAGATTCATTCACAAAAATCCCGATGATAGCAAACACTCGCGCGTCCTCGTATTTGCGTATTTTTCCGCGCAGCTCGCGCGAAACAATAACACCTGAATTTTATTCCAAGTAGAACGCGGTGTAGTTTAACTTGTGCTGTTAAACCACTAATAATGCCAAAAAGAAAATAAGTTCCAGAATCCAACAAAATGAGCCGAGTTTATAGAAAAAAAATAAATAAAGAAGTACTTTTTTCAAGAAGTAGCGTTGCGGTTCGCAAGTTGAATGTTTGGCTGCATGGCACACACTGTGCTGATTTCAAGTTTTTTTCAGCTCTTGTTTTTTCTTCTTTCCGGAGAGGAGGTCGGGTTTATGCTGTAAATGGCGTCATGTGGAAGTGAAGGGGGTGAACAGAGTAGCTGTTGTCCCAGAGGATATATCGTATCCGGTTCCAGCTCATTGGCTCTGCAGGACTCAACATTCACTCCCTGTGTGTGTGTGTGTGTGTGTGTGTGTGTGTCAGAACAGAACACTAGCACAAGGACGTTAGATTCATTTTAGCGAATCTGCTCACTCGAACGATTCGGTTCAATGAACCAATTCAAAGAGCCGCCTCACCAATTCTTTTGAGTTATTCGTCAAATGTGCTACGTCTTGTTGTTGTGACAGTGGCGGTTCTAGCTTGTATGGCGCCCTGGGCGAACCACCCCTTCTACCCCTTCTTGATTTTATTTTGAATTTGATTTTATTAGAAAACTGCGTTTGGCATTTAGACTATTATTTATTTCATAATGTCAAAAGGCTCCGCGGTCTGGATGGACGCATCTTGCCAGTTGGCAACCCCTGGTTATAGATTATGCCCAGTGTTGTATTATTTATGCACATTATTCAACAACTTTTAGTTGAGAGGGTCTAGGTCGACTTTTTAAAGACGTTTCTGTCAGGTTTGTTTCTTGAAACCAAAATTCTGTTTACAGTGAGCTAAATGTTAACTATGGTCTATAAAATAGGGTGACCATACGTGCCTTTTTTTCCCGGACACGTCCTGGCCAGGATTTCTATATGGCCTAAATAGGTTTTGCGCTGCGCAGACCGATCGGTGTATGACATCAAATTACAGTGAGAGCTGTAGAATAGAAAGCAGACGGCTACTCATGCTTTCGAATCGCTCTCACAGTACTTTGATGTCATACACCGATCGGTCTGCGCAGCGCCGCTTCAGGTCGAACAAACCTAATGTGTATGCCTATTTGCATCGCTTTGACCTTTCTTTGTAGATCCGACCTTCTCGTATGACACGATTGGTCGATTATGTGCAATGCCTGCATGTTATTGGTCAAACTACTTTTCGATCATTACATTCAGCAAGTATGAAAACAGGAAACAAACAAACAAAAAAAATCTGGATATTTTAGGCAATATAGAAATCCTGGCCATGCAGGACGTGTCTGGGAAAAAGGGCACGTGTGTTCACCCTACTATAAAATACATTTTAAACAAATCACTAATCACATAAACTTAAGTGATACATGACGACAATACTTGTGTTTTGTTGATACAGTGTCAAAAATTGATCATAACGGAAACCGAGCAGCCTGTTGTTACCTCCTCAGTCAAACTTCAGCACACGCTTGTATTCTAACGTTTGTGGTAGGCTAACTGAAAAATCTAAAACTGTTGAATTGCATAAAGTTATGTGTATAATAATAATAATAATAATAATAATAATAATAATAATAATAATGTTAACAGTTTTTCTACTAAACCAAACAGTACAGTAGAATGTGCTAATCGGTTCAACAGAATCATTCAAATGAATCTGTTCATTCAAAAGATTCATTCGCAAATCAGATATCCCTACAGAGAACACTGCCTCCGTCTTTCACGGCCTAAACATTTGCGCAGGAGCGCTTATTGCTCAACCACTGCTGATACTTATGTTTATAACATTAACGCACCTTCTTCTCTTTTTGAAGACTTTTCAAAGATACATAAGTGGTAAAAGCTTAATTTGTTGCAATGTTCAACTTTTTTCTGTTCTTAAACATCCAATCATCTTCCTTTGTGCAGTTGTTCTGGCCACCATGTATGAGTTCAGTTTTTAGACTTGTATTTTCTTACCTGTATTCAACATTATTATTATTATTATTATTATTATTATTATTATTATTGCATTTAACTCAATGGAAAAAAATTAAATAATTGAGTCTATTACTGCTCTCTAGTGGCATGATATCCATGATGCACCGATGTCAGGCTGGAAAACAGAATTAAATAATATTTAAATATAATGGGCAATATGATAAACATAACAAAGTTGTATATACAAAAGAGAAAATACAAACAAAAAAGTCTGATCCAGTTAAATCCGATCTAGTGGTGATAGTGGATGAAAGACACCAATACAACAAGTTTACTTAGCATGGAAATAGCTTCTATACAAAGCCGCTTTATAATGTATGGACCATTGTGGGCTAATAGGAAGTACTCCCACAGGAGAATGTAGTCTTCTTCAAGTACCCCCCTTGACACATTGTCTGTCTGTCTCTCTAGCAACTTTTCTTTTAAAAGGCTGCAACGCAATAACAGGCAAGGCTACTTCTGTGTTATCAAAAGGAGGGGGTGAACAAATGCACCTTGAGGTGGCCTCAAATGAACATGGAGAGTCAAAGAGGAAACGAGCAGAGAGTGAGCGAGTTCCCAACCCCATGAGACTCCACCATCTCCAGCTGAGCGGCCCCTTTTGTTCAGGGCCTCCTTTTCACCAGCCAAAGGTGAAAAGGTAACTGACAGGGGGCTTTGTGCCTGGTCATGGGGACTCCCATTGGCCAAGAACGCCCAGATTCCCTTGGTCACACATTGTCAATGGGGTCCATGAGGAAATGGGAGAAGTGGGTTGGACGAGGATGCAGGGAAAAGTCTTTTAGAATAAGACACATAACAAATAGTAGGGTGAATCACATGGGAACTGTCAAGTAATGTCTTGGTTGTATACGAAATGAAATATTGCAAACAAAACATTGCATACATTTTGTATTGTGACACTTTTTGACAGATCAATTGTAAAGTAGGCTACATTTGTAAAGTATCATTCAAAATATAAAACATTGTAATATATATTGTACTGAATTTAATTCATGCTAATTTTGTAAAAAAAAAAAAAAACTAGATTTTATTGCATTTCAGTCATGCAAATGTTGTGTGACAATTTGTTTAGCTGTCATGAAAATATTGTAACAGTAAAACAAACCTTAAGCATATTTTTATTAGTATTTCATCATTATTATACATTTTTTTTCTTCTGATTTTGGAGTGAAAAATAACCCCGACATGCATAAATAAATAAATAAATACCCTCTGACTCTCTATCTTCTAGCTTGCAAAAATAACACTTGTGCCTAACTAATCCTAAATAAGTCTTCTGGCATTATTTCCAAGTGTACCTCTTCAAGCAACAGCTGTCTTTCTGTTTCTTTGATTGTTTTATCGCCCCCATCCAAAGCACCCCCAAACAAAAGCTTATATACTTTGTAAAGATAAAGAGGAAGCAGTGGACAAAATGCATACAGATGGTTTAGCTTTGAGCAAAGCTCAATGTGACATGAATTTGTGAGCTTAATACAGTTGCTTGACATTTTCCTTTCTTAGTGTCATTTATTTTTCTTCTTGTTCTGGGAGATAAGTTCCACTGTCACCTCAGGCTTTACCATGGTTCAAGACAATTTTGTTGGAAGAGACACGGAAATAGCGAGAAGTTTCAATTACGTCCCTTAATTTTTGTAATGTTTTCTGTTGAAAAGCAGAAAGTCTTAGACTTCATCACAGCACACAATTTCATTTATTTACAGATGAGTTTTGCATTTGCAAGCACTTTTTTTTCTTTAGGAAATGTAACAAATCTAGTTTATTTTATTATCATGTTTTGGACAGCAATGTTAAACCAATCTCCTCTTCACAGTCGTTTAAATATAATTTACCAACCCTTGTTATTTCCACTGGCATGCTCAGTGTTGCTTGAAACAAAACCAAAAACCACAAAGTGTCAGTCTGTGCTCAGAAACACATGTTAGTCACAGTCGGTAACATCTCCAAAATATTTGACAGATAATCACGGGAATGTCTGAGTGGATGTTGTACATGTACAATTCTATTTGTTTGTTAGGAAGAGAAACCATATATCCGTTTGCTCGTGTGTTGGAGTGAACCACATGGGTAGAGAGTGGGTGTTAAAGAAAAAGAAAGAAAAAATGTGAAGAACGAGTGCAAGGATGCACATGCGGACATGGAGCCAAGTAATAATGACCCTTGGTGAGCTCTAGGCATCGGAAGGAAACACAGAGTGCCCTGTAATTAGGCATTTTATAATGTGTACCAAATTCTTTGATAATGCAACAAGGGGACGGTGGAGGGGGGCTGATTCAAAACCACAATAGTTGACTCTGGAGCCAGTTAGCCCAATTAAAACAGGTTATGCACAGTCATTACGCTAGGTCGGACAGATCTCATAGGAAGTTTGGGCCTCGTATAAAGAAAAAAAAAGTTTCTTGGAGCCCGAGGGCGAGCTGCATGGGCTTCGCCTGGCATCGTTTAGCCGTTCTCGCACTTCCAAGGAGGTATGCCAGATTTGAAGTAATGAAATCTTTGCCCTTGATTTGCCTGTGAATAGCATTGGCGATACTCTGGGTTTTGCTTTGATAGCAGGGCCACCTCTGTGACAAGTTCCAGAACGCCACATTTGGAAAGATAATTAGAAAAGACAATGGACTGCAAAACGGGTTTAATAACCTCATCATATTTGGTAGAAATGTCTAAAATGTTTCATCCTTTCAGATGTTTCAGCACAGTTTGTAAGGAACCACATAGCAACCACCATGCAACGCAGTGAAACACTCACATTTGTAACAGCATAGAACATCGTATCAACCACATAGCAATACACCCAAAACAATCATAATACTTCAGAACTGCATAGCAACCACTTAGCAATGCAGTGAACACTCAGAACACCCTATCAACAGCATAGCAACACTCTAGCAAGCACACAGCAACACATTCAAAACACTCAGAATACTTAAGAACTGTACAGCAACCAACTAGCAATGCAGCGAAGACTCAGAACACCCTATAGCAATCCCATAGCAGCACTTAAAACACATACGATCATAGCAACCACCTAAATTACCCTAGCAACAGCATAGCTCAAACTATATGATTTTGTGCTCTTTAGATGTGGCTCCTTCAAATGAAGTCTGTAGGACTTTATCAATCATGTCTGTAGTCCAAGGTTACGTACTGAGGTTTATGGGGTTTGAAGCTTAATATATTCTTAATATATTCTGTTCTGGGAAATGCACAAGTTATGCAAGAAAATATGAAATAAAAATACATTTTGGTGGGCCTTTCATAGCTGAGACATAAAGTGACTCTCATTGTAAAATTAGTCAAAACAATTTACTTCTCTCTCACATAAGATTAAATCACCAGCACACTGCAAACAATATTAAGACTTACTGCAGAGCATTTGCTTTTAGACGTGAAAAGGAAAAAAGTTGCATAAACAAGTATTTTTCTTTAAATCATTTTTTATAGTTAAGAGGTTCCACTTCTTCCTTTTTGCCTCAATCTCTCAAAACGAGCTCACATACAAAAGTGACAAATCAAGCCCTTCATTTTCTTTTAAATTCTGAGTCCTTTGAACTCATGAAATATCCATTGGATCCTTGGACAGCTCGTGTCCCCTTCAGACCCCCAAACACACACTTTTTTTGCTCACACACAGCAGAATGTTTTAGGTTCAGATGAAAACCATTACACAAATTTTGCGGTTCCTGTTTTTATATCCTCTTCTCCGGCAGTCATCTGGGACAAAGAAATGGATACTTGGCAAGCTCTTCTTCCTCCAGAAAAAGAAATGAATAACAATCCCGTCTCCTCAAATTTTGCTTCCGCAAAGAGTACTTTTCCAGATGGAACTCTTGACATGCAACATACACGCACACACACAGACACATACACACTGAGAGATAAATAGAAAATCAGTGAACCCATTTGAAGAGGTAAACAAATCTAATACTGATACAAAACACTACAAATAAAGTGCTGGAGTATTTTTGTTTAAATCATGGAGGCTTATACACTAGTTTCTATTTTGCATTTTAATGTGATACAAAATATTTTATTTAATATTTTATTTCTATATCTATCCATCCATCCATCCATCCATCCATACTTAAATTAATTTTAGTTGAGTTGAAATGTTTATATTTCGAATTGTAATGCAAAAAGTTTTATTAGAAATAATAATTGCTTGGTTTCCTTGGAATTATTTATATGCATAGTTTTAGGATATCAAATTGAAATGTAATAAAAAAGTTATTGAAAATCTTTGATTGAGGCAAAAACTGCAAGAAGATGTGCAAAAACTATAATGGAAATGCAATGTTTTTGCAATATTCATATATAATATTTATATATATTCATATCTATCTATCTATCTATCTATCTATCTATGTATCTATCTATCTATCTGTCAAATGCTGAAAATACGTATTTATTTGTACGTTTAGATGCTGAAAATACGTCAGTATTGTACGTTTTAGTGCCTGTAAAAACGTAAGTGAATGTACGTTTTATAGTACCACATTTTACGTAAAATACATACAAATTATCATGAGATCACGTTGAATAAACAAACCTAATCTCCATTTAAGTGCCTCATTTTACGATGTAAACATAGCAGGGTCGAAGAACTGCTGTCTTCTTGCTCAACTTTTTTTTTTTGACCATGCTATGTTGGAATGCAAAATTTCTCATTAAAATGTATTAAAAGAAAGAACTGTGTCTGCAGCTCAGTTTCAGTCGTGGCGCACGCGTTCGCACAAACTCTCCTTGTTTGGCTCTAGACGCGGCCGCTGGTTTATAGCCACACGTGGACACAGCCAAGCTTTGTTCTGCGAGCTGCAGTGGTTAATCTAGCCCCTGTATCTTTAACTGAGTAAAAAAAAAAAAAAAAA